TGTACCCTTTAGGATTTTGTGTAATTCTTGGGGGGTGAATGTAACAGAGTCATAAATAACATTGTTATAATTACACAAAATGTGTTCTAAACCCCCAAACTTCTCCTTTTATACCTGACTTTTAGGACCTCCAAGCCTGTAGTTGTGTTCATTATCAGTTAGAGCCCCTCCTCATTCTTTTCTTCTTCTTTGGTGCAATACTATAAATACAGTGTACCCCTTTTGCCTCTCCCCTTTTTCTACAATTCCCCTGTGGGAGAGGTGGGTGTCATTTCTTTCCAGCACCTTAAAGCACACATAATTCATATTTAACCACCCTGATGTTTATGGTTGCGATTTTAATTCAGTTATTGTCATTATTGAGCCTGTTTTGTAAGATGTTATAAGTGTGTAGTATGTGTGTGTCATAAATGTGTTTTAGGCGCCATAAATGATAGCATGAATATGTATTCCTTGCTAGCTTGGGAGCTGTGGTGGGTTGAGCTAATCCTCTTCCCCACTGTCTGTATTTGGTCGTAGGAGCTGGAGTGGGCAAATTATTTACTTGGAGGTCTTTCTTTCTTTTACCTTTTTTATCAGGTATGTCAGATTTCATGTTGTTTTTGTTTTATCTTATGTCAAATATGTTACGTGTAAATGCATATTTTATGTTTAATGTAAAAATAAATGCCACCCCCTTTTTCTACAATTCCCCTGTGGGAGAGGAGCTGGAGTGGGCAAATTATTTACTTGGAGGTCTTTCTTTCTTTTACCTTTTTTATCAGACACAACGCAGAATCACACCGGTTACATGAGCTTGGAATGGAAACCACAGCAACAGTGATCCTGGAATACAATCAAGGAGCAATTGCAATCGCAAAAAATCCAGTTGATCATGCAAGAACAAAGCACATAGACATTCGTTACCACTACATACGTGAATGTGTGCAAAATGGACAAATCCAGCTGAAATACTGCTGTACAGAAAACATGAAGGCTGACATGTTAACCAAACCACTGCCTAGACAAAAGTTTGAGTATCTCAGAGGGAAGATTGGACTGTGTTCGGTTTAAAAGGGTTATCATATGCTTAACATGCCTATTCTATGCTTATGTTAAGATGTCATGCATGTAACTGTAATGAAGAATAATAGTTTTGTCTAAGATGGACACAGTACATTTTTTGTGTGAGTTCAAAACAAAAGAGAAAATGTTTATTTTCTAATAACACCGTGATATAGGTGCATAATGTTGTTTTTGTTTTTTTTGAAAGAAATAAGCAATGGCAGTCAAGTAAGTGAACTCCATGGTAAAATTAAGTGGGAGTGTTGTAATAGTAATTTTACAATGTATGTTGAAGGGATATTACTGCCCTCTGTTGGTGTGTCTGTGCATTACACTCAATAAAAGGTGTTCGTTAAAAACATCAAATAGGATGTAACATAACTATTATAGTTGAACATCCTTTCTTCATAGAACATACATCAAACAAATTTCATTACTTAATGGCATATTTTCTCCAGTAATGAATTATGAGGGAACAACTATGGAATCACCTTCCATAAATAGTTGGATAAATACAAGAAATACTTGCCAAAAACGAAATAAATTAAGCAAGAGCGTTTCTTTGCAAACCATACTGTCGCATCTGGCTGATTGAAAGGCAGCATGGCCACAAGAAGAAAGCTGTTGGTTGAAAAGCTGAAAGAATTACACAGCTCCTTCAAAAAGGAAATTGTGGAGATACAGAAATCATTTTACTGCTACAATATATTCCTCATCAGTAACATTGCATTAAGAAGTTTATTAAAGTCACTGGCACCATATTAACCTTTTATTACAGGTGCAGCCATAATCATTTTATACACACATTGCATGTTTGTGCTCATTGAGAATGGATGCTCAGTCTATTAAAGAAGGTTTCAAGCTTTGTGAAGCGCTATGTCTTCACAATCGATTGTGTAGGTGACTTGGAGCACAGAAGGATTGCGTACACGCTTACAAAACACATATAATCCAGAAACCTGCCAGGCTAAAGGCCTGAAATTCATTTAGCTTCTAGCTGCATTTCAGTTTGCTCAGTAACAGATGACAGAAGACGAGTCAAGATAAAGGACAAGCCCTCAGGGACCATCTAGGATGTCTAGTCAGGAATCAAACCCAGGACTTTGTTACTGCAAGGTGACAGTGTCAAGCACTACACCACTCTAGTTCAGGGTCAGCTGTGTCATCCTCCACACCCCTTTCAAATTAATCATTAGTCTCCATAGTGTATATACTGTAAACCTCCTGCGCTTAACAGATTGTCTCATCTCCTTCGACTTGAGCTCTCTGGCTATTTTCCCAGAGTTCCTTGCTTTCTCATTGGGTTGTTTTTTTTCCTTGTCTTCTGATATCTTGGAATCTGGCTTTACTATAATTTCATAAGCCCCCTGTGTACTGTCTTTGCTCCTGAAATCCTCCAAGACCTAAATTATCCAACTTTCTCCATTGAAAATTTTCAAACAATGAACTGTCCATTGGGTTTTATTTGGAAACAGCCACATGATGTGAAATTTAAGGGGGATTTGATGTTAAGAGGCATCCATGCAAGAACATTAGAAGAAATGTACAGAGCAGAAACCATAAATGACAGTTTATACCAGTGAAATTCAGACACTTATGACAACTTATTGCCATGTATGGAAGGTGTTATAGAAAAAGGAACTTCTGTGTCTGTTTTTAGAGATTTAAGATGAACCATTTACTGTAATCGATGTATTTGATGTGTAATTGACGCGAGAAGGGGCGTTAACCCTGATGTTATAAAAGCATTTTCAAGTGTACTCTTAGCAGGAGACGTATGCTGTAAAATTTGAAGCAAGAAAAAACAGGATGGGAAAGTTAAACCAGAAAAATGGTAGATGGAAGATGTCAAAACGTCAACACGGAAAAACGACAACAAAGCAAATGGAAATAGAAATGGGCAGAAACTGTGCTTGTTTGTGAAAGAACTGTAAGAAATGGACGGCATGAAATTGGATTTACATACAGAGGAGCCAAATCAAAACCAACACTGAAAACCAAAACTAACACCTAAAAGCAAGAAGAGAAGTTTACAGCAGGCTACAAAGAGACGATCTGGACTGTGGATGCTTGGATGAACGTTGGCGTAAGATATACTTATTTAACCCATATTTAAATATATTTATTCTATATTGCGTATATTTACTTTTTCTCCTTTTTATATCTATTTATTAGCTGTTTGTGCACTGATGTAACTGGAGCTTTGTCGTCTCGTCTCTCTGCATGCTGCACTGGATATAGCAGGCTTTGACTAATAAGCTATTATTTTGTTCCAGCAGTTGAACTGCTACTACTATCAAGAAAAATGATGATGATGATGATTATATGCATGTGTAAATTATTATTATTAGGCAAATGCCTTTCTAACAGACAAATATATTATAAAACGTGATTGCAGTGGTATAAACATTTTCCAGTAATCAGTCTGTTGAATGCTAAGTGCTGCATTGCTAAAAGTCCAATAAGTGCTCAGTGACCTGAACCAACATGATCTTGTTTTTTCTCTCACATTGCTGTTTTACTCCTGAGGATTATTGGTTGTGAAGTTAAAGATCCAGCCATGTTCATTAAACAGGAATTTGCCAGCTGTATTATAGTCTTATAATATTAAAGAATCCATGTGTTCACAATGATTCAATATGCCTCGAGCATTCAATCGTACTAATACATCACACATTGTTCTCTTTTAAACAGAATTGCTCTAACTTTTAATAGCCTTAGTTAATATTGACTATTTAACAGTACCAAACACTTAAAAACTTATAAATAAAAGTTTATCCTTTAGAGGGGGTTTGCCATCCTTGAGGGTTTTCTGTTTACTAGATAGATACCAAGCTGTGATCTATTGCTCCCTCTAAAGTATATCCATGTCTCTTATAAAATGCTGTTTTAAGGACCAGTACATACTTAAAAGGAAATGAACACCCTTTTATTTTACCATTTTGTCTTGGTATTAATACTTCATAAGAAGAGATACTGATAATAAGTACTTTTGTTCTGACGTCATGGCATGCACAAGTTATCTGATCTGCATCACAGCATTTGATAATTTTTCTACTTGGGTATGCACACAGGGCACTCCAAGTCCTCAGAGTGTTGGTATATTTTTTTCCACTGTAAGTTTCATGAATATAAAACTTTCTTTTTTAAAGTCACTCATCTTGTATAACTCCATCAAAGTGGGATAGCTGGGTAGAGGATTAAGATTTGATTAAAATCTCCTTTAAAAGAATCTTTGCGTTCACTCCATCCAGTCACAGAAAGACGGTGGATCTTGTTTTTATCATCACTGACTTCAATGCTCTGCTGCACCCAGAATTTTCTTTTCAGTTAATTGAATCCTGGCAAACTGATCAGAAACTATCTGCAAGCAAAAGCGCGAAAGTCAAGTGATTGTTTCTTCTGACGAGGCTTGTTTTCTCAGTAATTCTGTATTCATTTTATCCGCTGGTTAAATAAAACTTTGAGCTGAAATTCACTCTTTTTACTCAATGAGAACTTTGTGATGTAGTGGAAGTGAGAAGACCACAGTATTCGGGTTGTTAAACCTGCTTCACTGTAGTCGATTCCAGCTGTTAGTCAGCCTTTTAAGTACTTACTTATTGATTGTGTTGGGCCCTTGCCACGTGCCATGTCTGGCAGTCACTGTGTTTTGTCGGTTATGTTCCTGAGCAGCCAATATCCAGCAGCATATCCCTTGCATACAATTGCAGCTAAGTTGGTGGTGAAGGCCTTGACATAGTTTATTTCTGTGTTTGGCATACCTAAGGTCATCCAGAGCAACCAGGGATCCAATTTGTCTTCCCGTTTGTTGGCCCAAGGTTAGAGCGTTTTCATCAGATGCTCAAGTCTCTTCAGACCCACCCACAAATTTAATTGACTATGTGAATGGCTTTGGACACAGGTTATGTTGCAGGTCAGCTGGCGAGAGGCGCACTGGCAGTGCACAGGCAAAAATGAAAGTGAGGTATGATCGTCACACTAAAGTGCATGAGTTTAGCCCTGGTGACAAAGTTTTGGCTCTCTGTCCGTTGGTGAGTTCTCCTTTTCAGGCTAAGTTTTCCGGTCCTTTTGCAGTTGCCAAACGTGTTTTGGACCAGAACTATTTGATTTCAACTCCTGGTCATTGGGAGCCAGTGAAGTTATTCCATGTTAACTTGCTAAAAGCCTGTTGTGATCAGTCTCCTGGTGGATCTTATTCTATCTTCCAACCTGATAGATTTAACAACCTATACTCTCGTATGCTACCTTTATAAAAGTGAATGTTTTACACTGAGAGCAAAGTGTCACTTAACTTTGAGGGAATGGCTACATGTGCATATCTTGCATGATGCTACTTTTCAAAACCAAAAGCCATTTCTGTGGTTCTTCTGAAAGTTTTCACTTGATCTCTAACTTAGCAGCTACTTTGTAAAATGGCCATAGCCCTGGTGATACACTCTGTCTCTGCAAAGCTAAAGAAAAAGCAAGGCCAGGTCAGCCTTTGTTGCCCTTCAGCCAGTGGCAAATGCATCAGTTTGTAGCTTCATATCACAAGCTTGCACTGATAATGACTTAGCCAGTTGCTTCTGCAGTGGCAGTTTGAACTGACTATTTATAAACATTGGCTGAGAGACTGGAAGTGAGACTTTTCACACAGTCTTTCATGCCACAGATCCATCTTCTAAAACTGAAAAACTGAGATTTCCTACTGTGTGGAGTGAAAAAAGGAGACTTGACAGCAGAAGTGTACACAAGATGGATCATGCACCATAGCATCTCACCTGTTCCTTTCATGCTGTGCACACACAGCCATTAGTAAGTTATTATTGCTATGCAAACTCTGTCTTTTTTGCTCCAAAAATTGTATCCTCAACGATGATTTTAAGTTCAACACAGAAAGAGAAGATAATTATTCATTTCTGTAAAAGATTATAGCTACATTTGATTCCAAAGCTGTTAACTACAGGTGTCTATAGCTGGGAATGGAAGTGACGTAGACAGCCATTGTCTTAATGTTTAAAGCATTTAAATTAAAGCATTTAAATTATGTAACCTATTGGTAATTGTTGTAATTTCTAAAGTGCTTAACTACTACTTAGTCATGCACTTGCAACGAGCCTTTTATTGCATTTGTTGTATAATTACTCAGGGAGGGATCCATGGAAATGGATTGTCCATTAAGCTGATGAGTTCCTTTAGACACCTCTGTCACAGTCTGATTGTACCAGAATTGAACCAGCTTGTTCAGTGTTTTGGCATCACTTGCCTTCACTAGTCCTTCTCAGCACACTGCTGCATTAAAAAAAAACTAGACTGGACTAGTCTAGTTTTTTTGTCTGTGTACTCCTTGGTACCCGTAGTCTTCAGCCACCTCAACACATATCCCATAAAGATGGGAGAGGGAGGACAGACCTGATACCTAAGGATTAATCAGCTCTTTAGTTTTAATGATGTTCAGCTGTAGCTAAGCTCAGAAACTCAACAAGGCTTCCACCACTGTTCAGTACTCCTCCCCATCAGTGATGAGGCCAACATTAGGAGAGTCATCTGTCAGTCTCTGTAGGTAGCACTCCTTTGCTGATCTGTATGCTGCTCGAGGAGCAGCTCTTCAACCAAAAATGGTGTGGTTGACCTGTCAAGTAGTTGATAGTCTAGGTAGTTTATTCTCAGATAAAGATGCTGTAATATGGTTTGTCTGGGTAGATGATAGGTGGTGTCCTCAATGCTGATACGCGGCTTAGTAGGGAAATTACAGGGGATGCAGAAAAGGGTCCACTAGCAAATGCAGGTGGTTGAGGTTTAATCTCTGTAGAGTCTTCAAGATACGTGAAATAAAGGTCACTGGCCTGTAAGCTTTGGGTATCAGCTGGGTGGTAAGTGATAAGGCCTCTGTCAGAAGACTGACTCTAAATTTTATGTCCATAGAAGGACCCTAGAATCACCACCCAGACACTGTGGCTGTTGTTGTTTGTGTTGTGAATGTCTTCAAGTCATCTCCAACGATTTCTAAATAAACTTGCAAACATAATCAACTCCACCATTAGGATTTAGAACACTGAATTAGAAGCTAGACATTATTGATAAGCTTTACATTCCGAAGGGGAAACATGAATTTGTTATGTGGGCACAAAAAAAGAATATCAATAACAAAACTAAACACGCAACATAAAAGATGCAGCTTGCACATGACAACCATCTAGACACTGAATTGAATTCAGTTCCATTTAGTTCAATTCTATTGTATTTATACAGTGCAAAATCACAGTAACAGTTGCCTCAAGGTGTTTCATATTGTAATTTAAAGACAATAATATAGCAAAAACAGAGAAAACCCCAACAATTAGATCAGTCTTTCTCAAAGTGAGAGAGAGCCCGCGTACCACTATCTCTGGTGGTACACGGGAAAGCTCCAATTTTTTTTAAGATGAAATAATATACCATTGTGGAGGTATGCAAAGACGATGCAAGAGTTCCATACACTCAAAAAACAGATTCAGGTCCTCCTTTCAAAGAACACATGCAAATTATGTTAGTTGTTCACAAATGCAATTAAAAAATACCAAATTAATTTGATTTTCTTTGTGTAAACCTAAAATTATTCAAAACCAGCAGAGGCTGATTCTGAACACAAAATGAATGAGTTTGTTGGGGCACTGGGGGTAGGAGGAGTGCATTTTTGCACTTAAGTATTTGTAAACTCAAAGAAATAAATTCAAGCCCCTCTTTAAGCTTAAACATTATTTTTAATCTCATTCAACGCAAATGTAGCACTCCAGCATTACTGCAATTATTATTCGTGTGGTGAACCTAAATTATTTTCTCTCAAAGCAGTCTTTGTCACAAGAACACAAAGTTACTGAGTTACACAACGGTCCGCCTTCTTTGAAAATTTTGCGCTCTTTCAGGATCACCTAAATGAATCCAGCTGCTCTTGGCCTCTCTGTACTTTTTGGATAAAACTACACCTTCAGGTAAGGTAACATATTATTTTTTCATATATCCAATTGTGTATTTCTTTATCAGCTAAATCTATGGCAATGCTATTTATCATAGAAGCTTGTAACAGTTGTTTTTTGAACTTTTGATGGTGCTACCATTCTCTTCTCTGCTTGAATACAATTTTTTTTGACAATATAGCCAGGTCTTTTCAAAAGTGCCTTGTTTTAGAGGAGAAATTGTGTAGCTGCCAACTTTTAAGTCGGAGCATGTGCTAGCTTATTAGCAGCTAGCCATTGTGCTCAATGAAAGATGATGTCCTATAGCTAACTTCTTTCTTACTGTTTTCTTTTTATAATCTAAAAATTATGTATTCTGTGTTTATTATTATATGCCATTTTCTAGTAGAAAGTATCGTTTTGAGGTGTCTTTAAAAGCACTACATAGTTTACTGAGGGTGCTACCAAAAGCGAACCATGTGGCCGGAAGAGTAACTGCAGGCAGCACAATGCGCACTCCCATGACGTTCAAACCTATTTATTATTATAAAAGATTTCGGCTACGTCCACACTTACACGGGTATTTTTGAAAACGGAGATTTTCCGTTTTCGTTTTAAAAAATAATCCCGTCCACAGGTAAACGCAAAAATGAAGGAAAACGCTGCTAGGAACATGCCAAAGCAACAGGTGGCGATATATTCCTAAACTCAGCTAAAAACAGTTTAGGTCTTGACAAACTTCACTGATGGTTCAAATGTTTAGCAACTTTCAGTGTGTTGATTCAGCAGTCTGTATTTAAACTTCTAGTTTATTATATTTATGTATGTTTTATTTCCAGGTGAATGCAGAGTTCCTTCAGATCACTACAAAACCCCTGCAGGCGAAGTTCTTGGCTCAGCTGGACTATTTAACAGACAAGCTGATGCAAATTTTTCAGGGGAGCAAAGGAGCAAAGGGCCAAAAGATCAAGGATATCATGGCGATCAGTAGTTTGGTCGGTACTAATGATAAACCCATCAATTAAATGCAATCAATCAATTCCATTTTTTTCACCCTTTTTTTTCCACCCTTGCATTAGTATGATGACATCGACATAAAGAGGGAGCATACTCTTAAAAGCCTGGTGATCTACTTTAATGAAGATCCAGACCTACTGTTCAAGGAGTATCTGGTACGCTTATCACACTTTCTTTTCTAGATTCAATTTGAGTTAGGTTCATCGCACACAAAATCCTCATATATTCAAAAGAGACAATATAATTGTGAAATATGTATTATTCTTAATAGTCATTGTTGAAACTTGCACTGGAGAGCACTTTTTAAGGGGACAGTTTCAGCAAAAATTCAATTGTTCATTCTTTTGGTGCTGCCATGTAGGTATCTACTGCCTCTATAAACACAGTAAATGTGGACAAAACATTCATCCATTTTCTGTCAGTGTTTCAATTCAGTTTATTTATATAGCGGTATATCACAACAACAGTCATCTCAAGGCACTTCAGAAAGTAAACACTCCAATGGAGTTCAGTTTATTATGCCAATTAGTAAAAAGTCTTCATTATAAGGAACACAGCAGATTGCATCAAGACACTAACTAGTGTCACTGCCATTACAGCAATCTCCTGGTTTCAGGAATAATGTGCATAAAACAAGCTGTTTCAAAAGGTTCCCAATTGTGATGAAATAAGGGAAATTGACCCAGCCCCCCCACACACACACACACACACACACACACACTGATAGACACTGGAGGAGCTGCTGCTCTATATCAAGCCCCTTCCTAAGGCAGGTACATAATACCTGAACCCAAACTATTGATAGGAAACAGATTGACGGGTTTTATTTATGTTTGGAGTGTTTATAGAGGCGGTAGAGACCCATGTTTCAGCACAAAAAGATACAAAAGCTGAGTTTTGCATAATATGTCCCCTTCCAAGTGACAGAGCCCTTAAACCTGAAACAACCTGTTTTTCAGACCTCCTCCACTGAGGATGAACGGTTGAGGTCCACTGCAGCAACTGTCATGGGTATTTACACCATCAGAAGAGAAGGGATTCAGGAGCCAGAGGATGTTGGAGTTGTCATTGAAGGTACTACAGTTATGAACAACCTCGGTAGTGTCATCGTGGCATTCATCGTCCTCTTTGGACTGATTTATGCACTTGATCTGAGCTATCCAAATGACCACAAGTACACTTTTGAGTTCTGTCAGAAGATTTTGATGAATCTGGATGGACAAAGGCTCAGTACAAAGATGCAGCAAATGAAAATGAAGATGTTTGCTTAGGCAAACAAGACCCAGCACAAAAGTTGATTTTGGCCTTTTTAGATTAGATTAGATTAGATTAGATTAGATTAGATAGAACTTTATTAATCCCTCGGGTGGGTTCCTCTGGGAAATTCGATTTCCAAAAAAAGCACAGCACCGACAGAAGTTACAGAGTTATACACACACACATATATATAAATACAGAGACAATATAAATAAAATATACGAAGGGGATAAATAGAATAAATAGGAATAAAAATAAAAATACAAGTGAATTGCACATTTCAAGTATTTTATATCTTTTGTTCAAACTGTGACCTTTTTTTCTTTCTTTTTTTTGGCCAAATGGAAGTTGTCTATTTTTGTCTGCTGTTCTGTTGTGAGTGATGTGACTTTTAATCTGTACTACTATAGATGGATGAAAGGACTGGGGATTTAGCTCAGAAAAAGTTTCATGGTTGTAACCACCATTTTCTTTTTGATTGCTTTTGGGCAAAGGTAATAGAAAAATGTTGACAAGTTTTGTGTCTTCCAGTGTTTTAAAGTTGGTCTTCCCGTTCTTATAAGCTTGTAAATGTTTACATGTAATTGGTTTTGGAGAAGTAAAGTTGAAAGATTTTTTTTTATTAAAATACCTCCCCCTTGGTAACAGAAAAATGTTCGTCATGAAAACACACACACACACACACACACACACACACACACACACACACACACACACACACACACACACACACACACATATATATGTATATATGTGTGTATTTATGTATTGTTGGGTTGTTTCAAATCTTCAGTGACTGCCATACTATGGTGTGAATTGCAATGTTTAGTAGGTTATCATTGTGAATTTGCAAGTGTCACTATAAATATATACAATGATTCTGAAGTGAAATCTGATTTTACAGATTCCAGTTTGTTTTCAGTATTGCCTAGTAGTACAGAGGTGTGTGCTATTCAGATTTGACATTCATTACAAATGTACGTCAGCACTTTTTTGTGAGCACTTTGATTTTTGTTAAGGTTGATTTGACCATGTGACATGTATGTTTATTTACAAAATATTCTGTTTCTGCTTTTAATTCAAGTGAATAAACCCGAGTTGTAAAAACAAATTCATTTTGTCATTATTTTAATAATTAAATTAGTTTTCTGGTAATGAAAATTATGATTTAGTTGAACTCAAAATAATGATTTCAATGCAATGAAAATCTAGCTCAAGTGAATGACATTGTATTGAGTTGGACCAACCAAAACCTTTCACATCATTTTAATGTACTTTTTTTCATTTTAGTATTTACGAAATTGTGTTCTACTGACTCAATTTAATTGAATTGTCATGATGTATGTAGATTAGGTTGGACCAAAATAGATGTATTACGTGGAAAACCTGCCATCAGTCCAATTGAGTTCATCCAATGACTTATTTTTTTGAGTGTAGGCTCTTCTGGGAGCCGGAGTCAACCAGAAAACGTGTCCCCGAGCGTGAGTCATCTGTAAAGAGTAGCCTTTCCTTATTGCCAGTGGTCACGGGCCGCTATGGAGCACTGGCAGGTTCGTTTCCCTGCAAAGGTGGCACGGCGCTGTCACGCTGATGGTAAAAACACAGCCCTTTTTCGCGGTGCTGCGATCCTAGCCACCATTGATGAGTTGGAGGCCCCCGGGAGAATCGGTAGGGGAGCGGGAGATGCCATCGGTGAGTTGGGAACTATCACTTGGATGCCGAAGCTCATAGTAGCCAGGAGAATGCGATCCGCTTCTTCTGCAAGTGAGTGGTACTTCAATAGCCATATATTTTATGAGGTGATACTCACTGTGAAAAGTTTGAGAACCACTGAATTAGATAACCCCCTAGGAGGAAGAGCTTGGCATCAGTGGAAAGAAAAAACCTCCCTTTTAATAAGAAGAAACTTCCAGCAGAACCAGGTTCATGGAGGTGACGCTATCTGATGCAACTAGTCAGGGGTCAGGGGAGGAAGACAGGACAAAGACACTCTCTGGCACATCCTAAAAGGAATTATGTTACCATGCCAGCGAACTCCAGGAAACACTTAAATAAACAAAACACAGTATAGTTCAACGGCTGATAAAAGCAAATATTTATTAATATAAGCAATAGCATAGAAATGGTCAGACAATCTGCTTATTAGAAATACCAATAAGCATTAGCAAGGTGTTAGTAAATTCTTAACTTGTAATTTTTTAAGCAATAATAATATATAATTTATGGATGTGGACAGAAATATTAAATCTTGATTAATTAACTCATATTTATTTTTCATGTTTCATGAAAGCAGCTTTATGATCAATAAAAGATGGATTAACAATCTTGATACAGTAAAGCATCATTTAGAAACCACAAAACCATGTCAAGAGAGAAAGATGTGAAAAAGAGCAAATACCCAGAGAGTGGCCATTCTCTGGATGGAGTTGTTGATGCCAGAGGAAGGCAGTCACTCAAACATAACATGCTATGCCACAAAGCTTAAATCATCTCTGATTGGTTTCTTGAACATAAAGTGATTAGGTATTTAAGCCCAGTAGCCTGAGCCTCTGGGCTTAACCATCCAACCCAGCTCTCATTGCCGGCTTTGAGGAGAAGTGAACTTAAGAACATGATCATCATTTTTTTTTCAACACTCATCCAGTCAGTCAGCAGATTTTTCTCCCTGTAACTTTTTCTCCTTGAAAATAAAGATCAAGAAGTCTAACTTTTTCACCACACCTCACATTATTTCAAGATACATTTTTTTGTCCAAAGCAGGTATTTTCAACATTTGGTTAGTAAGATAAATTAAGAGAACAAGAGCTATTGGGGGTAATAAATCAAACTAAAAGAGGACAGAGTGAGGACGTCCTCTTCCTGTCAGGATATTCTAAAGAATGAGAAGAAATCTGAAATCTGGATTGGTGTTGGTGTTGGTTGGTGGGTTCTTCCTTTACTCATGGGCACCTCTCCACTGCTGACAGTGATCGCATACAGACTTGCCCCGTGGACTTCATGTTATTCTGTATTAAGGAGTTTTTTTCCCTTTTCATTTTGTAAACTTGTCAATTTGAATAATTAATGGTTGTAGATGATGCTATCAAAGTTAGTACAGGAGACCCCAAACTGTCTCCTTACTGCATTTTAGGAAACTTTGGTTTTCTTTTAAATCCTTATGACTTCTTTTTTATCACAACTAAAAGGATCAAAATCAACCATTTTACAGATGCATAAGGCATGCAATCATCTGTGAAATTCAGTTTCAGTAAGGATAGCTGTGAAGCTGTGGAGATCTTTTTTTCATTGCTGAAAGATGACAAAAAGGCACAAGGAACTCTGAGTTCGCAATCTAAATTGTCAGTGAGATCAGAGGTCCTCGGGGTTTCACAGTCACCACCTACGTGCAGTAATGGAATTTGACTCAATCCCAACACTGAGCATAAAAAGTATGTTAGATGAAGTCACAGTGCATTTTCAAATAACAGAATTTGCAATGCTGACCTTTTAATTTCTAAAGCTGTTTCAGATTGTAACAGTATGTTGGTGTTATAAAGACACCTGGAAAAATGATGTAAGGGACGAAAGGTCAGATGGCCAGTTGCTTAGAATTTTTTCTTTCCTTATTTTTACTACTTTCTACAAATGGTTTCACTTCGCAGGTGTTCCTTGGGTTCATTTGTGGAATTTCTTGACTTCTTAATGAAGTTGGGACCATCAGTTTTGTTGTGCAGAAGTCAGGTTGGCAAACAGCTGACAGATGTGTGCCAACCTGAACCAATCAGCTAAGTAAAGAGAAACAAGAGTCCATTACTTTAAGAACTGAAGGTCAGTCAGTCCAGAAAATTGCTGAACTTTGATTGTGTCCCCAAGTGCAATCGCAAAAAGCATCAAGGGCTACGATGAAACTGACTCACATGACCGCCCCAGGAAAGAGTCACCTCTGCTGCTGAGGATAAATTCATCTGAGTAACCAGCCTTGGAAATCACAAGTTGACAGCACCTCAGTTTAGAGCCCAGATAAATGCCACAGACATACACACAGAGTTCCAGTAACAGACACATCTGCACATCAACTGCTCAGAGGAGACCTCATGAATTGGGCCTTTATTTTCAAATAGTTGCAGAAAAAGCAACAAGCAGAAGAGATGTGTTGGGCCAAGAAACACAAGAAATGGACATTAGACCAGTGGAAATCTGTGCTTTGGTGTGATGAGTCAAAATTTGAGATCTTTGGTTCCACTCGCCGTTTCTTTGCAGAAAAGATAAATGGATGGTCTCTACATGCATGGTTCCCACTGTGAAGCGTGGAGGAGGAGCTGTGATGGTGTGGGGGTGCTTTGCTGGTGACACTGTTGGGGATACACACTGAACGAGCATGGCTACCACAGTATCCTACAGCGACATTCAAGTTTCAAGGACTCAAGAAAACATTATTGTCATTCGCATCACATGTTTACATGACGTGAAATGAAATTACATACACACGGTCCCGGTTATCCGTAAAAAAAAAAACACAAAACCAAAAACAGATAAAATAATACAAATGAGAAATAAAATAATATAAATAATACAATGTGTCATAAATAATAGATAGCTACAACCCAAGTAACAGTATGTAATGCAAATATAAAAATGTATAAATAATTATAATATAATATAAATAAAGCTGTGGTTTTCAGTTATATTTCTGTCTCAGAGTCCTGCACTTGGATCCACATCTCCACTTCCCCGCACACAGAGCCCTGACACCTAATATGATTTACTAGTCACAGTAATCACATAATAGTAGTAATCACATAAGTTTTTACTATTTCTTTTCCTTAAGGATTGGGATTGAGTCAAATTCCAATACTGCACGTAGGTGGCGACTGTGAAACCCCGAGGACCTCTGATCTCACTGACAATTTAGATTGCGAACTCAGAGTTCCTTGTGCCTTTTTGTCATCTTTCAGCAATGGAAAAAAAGATCTCCACAGCTTCACAGCTATCCTTACTGAAACTGAATTTCACAGATGATTGCATGCCTTATGTATCTGTAAAATGGTTGATTATGATCATCTTAGTTG